AGCTTGTCGAGTGTGCATCCGGTATTTCATGTTGCTATGCTCCGGAAGTATATTGGCGATCCGTCTCATGTTTTGGATTTCAGCACGGTTCAGTTAGAGGGAGATTTGACTTATGATGTGGAGCTAGTGGCTATTTTGGAGCATCAGGTTCAAAAGTTGAGATCAAAGGATATAGTTTCAGTGAAAGTGCAGTGGAGAGGTCGGCCCGTGGAGGAGGCTAACTGGGAGACCGGACGGGAGATGCAGAGCAGATATCCTCACCTATTTGAGGCTTTAGGTATGTTTCTTGACTCGTTCGAGGACAAATGTTTGTTTAAAAAGGGGAGGATGTAACGATCCGGCCGGTCGTTTCATGAACTACCGCTCTGTTTCCCCCATTTTTGCTTCTTTATGCCTTGTTCAGCTATATTATATAGTATCGGGTTGGTTGGTTTGGGTTCGGAGTGGTTTTGTAGAGAAATGAGACACTTAGTCTCTTTTAAGTAAGCTTGAGTTGGAAAAGTCAACTAGATATTGACTTATGTGAAAAAAGTCTCGGATGTGAATTCTGATGGTTCGGATAGCTTCGTTAGGTGATTTGGTACTTAGGAGCGTGATCGGAATATATTTTGGAGGCATGTGGTTGATTTAGGCTTGAATTGGCGATATATTGACGTTATGATTCTGATTTTGGATAGATTCGACGTGAGTTGAGGCCGAGTCGATTGGCAAGGGCGTCGCTGAGTAGCATTTCATTCGGTTTTGAGGTAAGAAACCATTGTAAATCTGGACCTGAGGGTATGAAACCCTGGTATTTAGTATTGTTTTGATAAATGAGGTGATGCACATGCTAGGTGACGAGCATGTGGGCGTGCACCGGTAGGGATTGTGACTTGGTCCATTCTGTAGCGACTATTAAACCGTGTATTTGAATTGAAATCCTATGATATCCCACATTTTAGAGATTTATACTATATTTTGGGTTGTACGCCATGTTTGGGGCCTTGTGCCGACCTGTTTAGACCCTTAGGGGTGTTTTTACTACTTTCCTCACTCTATTTGATTTGAAAGCATATCCTCAGTCATGTTTTACCTGTTTAATGTTTGAATCCGGTTTCATTACTCTACTTCTTAATACATGAAAACTGTTTGGGCTGAGTTTCCCTGGTTTTTCACTGATATGCCCCAGTGGCCGTGAGGTTGATGACTGAGAGAGGTTGAGGATATATATATTATGGATCGGGTTGCACGTCACAGAGATATTATATACATATGGATCGGGCTGCACGCCGCAACAATATGACGCTCGGGTTGTAGGAGCCCCTCCGGAGTCTGCACACACTCAGTGAGCGTAGTCGACTATAAAGTATGGATCGGACTGCACGCTGCAGCAGTTATTATGATTATTATTATTATGAGATATTATTGAGCTGGAGTGCTGAGTGTGAGTGTTGTTTGACGAGAGCTGAGTCATGAGTGACTGAGAGGCTTGCCCGAGAGGCCATACTTATGAGTGATACCTTGTCCGATGGGCTTGTTTATGACTTTTGTTGCTTTCACTCTTCCTTTATACTAAGCCTCTATTGAAAAATGCTGAATAAATGTTTTTCAAAGGTATTGAATTGAAACTGGCTATCGAACTGCTGATTTTGACTTGGTATTTCTGTTGAAAATTCTTATATGATTTTAATTGCTCGTCACTGCGCTCAGACCTTATTTATTTTAGTTACTTACTTAGTTGGCGTACTCACGTTATTCCCTGCATCTTGTGTGCAGATCCAGGTACCCAAGCATCAGAGTGAGAGCTTTACCGGAGATCGCAAGGTAGCTGCACGACGTTCGCAGCCCTGCTTTCCTCCTTTCTATCTTAGTATTGTGTCTTTCAGACTTATTTTGTATTATTCTGACAGTGTTTTGGTTGCATTTAGAGACTCATGACTAGTGACACCGGATTCGGGCTGTGTTAGTGTATTCCATACTGTTTTCCGCATATTTCTGTTGATTTTTATTCTACTTATGAAAGCTTTGAGACTTAACCGGTTTTAGAAAATGATTTTTAAAAGGAATTCGATGTGATAAGTGTTGGGTTGGCTTGCCTAGTACTGTGATAGGTGCCATCGCGACCGGAGTATTTGGTATCGTGACATTTATGGACGAACTTTATAACCTTAATAGAATTAATGATATAAATGTATTAAAATTGCCAAATGAGTAATTATTTAAAAAATAATGGTGATATAACCATATTTACCAAATCTTATCTTGAATAATTTTTTAATATTAATATCAGTACTTTTTGAAAAAAATACAATGATCTTCTTTTACATATTTATTAAAAATAGGTTACATATAATTTATTAAATTATTATCAACTAGGAAGCATAATAAATTAGTTGAGAAAAGGGAGGACTAAAATTGATCGTCAACAACATGGAAGCTGGAATCTTCAAGATTCAAAAGCTTGGTTTGAGACTTGATTTTTAGTTGTGGTATTTTTCTTTGTATTTTGAGTATTTGGATAAATTCATAGGGGATATTTAGACTAGTTGGGATAGCTTGGAGGAGTCTTGAGGCCTTGAGTGAGGTTTAGGTTTTACATGGTTAATTTTGGGAAAAAGATGTACCAGATAAAAGCTGGGCGCATCTCGGTTAGGAAGGCACTAGACCGAGTGTGCTTGGAGGTGCGACGCATCTCGGGTCGCGCCTGGCCTATGTGATGTATCAGTCGCAGCGCACCTGGATGTTACAATGTGAATTTTGACCTGTCCTATATGTATATACCCATGTGAAGATATAAGTGCTATGCATAATGATTTTGAGTAAGAATATGTTAATTCTATGTCCAAAAGTGACTTACAAGACATTTGAGGACTAAATGTTTCTAATTGAGGGAGAATGCAATGATCCAAAGGAATTTCACAAACTTTTAAGTCATTAAGTATGCTAAACGGTTTTGGATACATTATTTGTACAAAAACAATGGCTATGGATGAGAATGATATTATTTGAATAAATGAATATGGTTATAACATGGTTTGGAAGGTCATAAGGATACTAAACTGTGTGGAGTAATAGCTTGGAGTGGTTTGGAAAGAGGTAAAGGAAATGAATGTTCAAATAAAACAAGACCTGCTTTTAGAGGAGTATTGCTCCCAACCTTAAGGAATTTGGATGTGGTATTAGGATGAAAGTTGTAGTTTTTGATTCGAATTTTCATCAGTTTAAATCGTTCATCATTTGAATATTTGAACAAGGACTTACAACATTATGGATTACCTATATATGTTAGATCATATGATTTTATGGATTAGTCATACACCGTTCATATGTATACTCTCCTACAAATATAATTCACATTGATATGTGTCGTTTGGCATGTGAGTTGTCTGTATGAATTCAGATATACGTTTTGATTTGTCCAAGTTTTGATGATTGAGCTTAAGGCTCCGATATGGTGTGTGGATTAAATATGCCTCTCATGATTCACTATTACCCGATTATCACAACCATTGTACGTGTAGGTTTATGATGTTGCGATTGCTGATTTATGGTTAAAGTTTGAATCATTATCATGCATTTGATTTATGTATTCTTGTCGATACATTTTATATAAATAATGTACTTATGCATATTTAAATATGTTGTTTCTACGCTTTTGTTACTATTATTGTCATATAAATATTGCACAACTTTATGCAAGTAAGTATTTTCAATACAACATTCTCCACTACTTTGTAAAAAACGATCAATGGAACTTACTGGGCACTTCCCGTACTCACGCCATATTTCTATATTGTGTGTACAGATTCGGACCCGAATACCAATGTTCCTCGCAAAGGATTTTAGGAAATCGTCTACTGGTAAGCTGCTTACTTAACTCATAGTAGCTTGGAGACTCTTTTATCCTTTATTATTATACTTCATTCAAAATAATGATGTATTATTTTAAGACAATTGTATTAATTCTTTCTTAGTTCACTCATAACTTGTATCACCAAATCATATGATAGTGTTGCCTTTAGACTTTCACAATATGTTAGATATTTTATTACAATTTACGATATTGCCTTACTAGACTTGATATCTTTTTGGCTTTTGAGGATTAATGATTTATAGTCGGTTTGTTTAATAAGTATTTGGGTGCCATCACGGCCTTATGTGATCTGGATCGTGACGGAGCTCATTAGAAAAACTACAATTGAAGGGACCAAGTTAAGTACATCGTCCAAAAGAAACTATGGACAGCATGCTCCTTGATTTGGACAAGTCAAGGATGCAAAATACAAAATCATGTAATTTAACTTTAACAATAAATAATTAGAGTGAGAATACATATCACTTTTATGCTTAAGTATTCAATATACATGTATTGCCAATGGCAAACCTATGTTATAGGTTATGAGTGCTCAAGCACATATTATTTTGGGAGCCAAATCTTATTATTTATAATAAAAAATAGTAATTCGTGCAAATATATTAACTGAGCATGCAATCTTGGTAATAACTTAACAATAATAGTAATTAATCACCCATAATTTAGGTCCATCATTATATCTTGTATTTATTCGTTTGATTTTAAAAATCAAGGTAATAAATTTTTATCCCCTCCCTAGGCTCTTCAATTGGCAAGTCAAAGTCACATTGATTGTAATATTGATTAACAACTACTTGTTTAGAAAAAAGAAAAATGAAAAAAAGAAAAAAACTAAATGACACAATCACAAAGAAAAAATTTGGGGGTGTGTTTGGTATGAAGGAAAATATTTTCATCATGGAACATAAGCGGTTTTATCACTTATTTTTCCTTGTTTGGTTGGTGAGTGAAAAATATTTTTCGGAAAAGGAGTTTTGAAAAATATTTTCCCTTTTCTTGATACGGAAAATATTTTTCTCCAATTAAAGGAAAATAAGTTTATGAGAAAAATATTGAAAATTAAAAAATATTTTTTTTCCTTCGTACCAAACACACCCTTAATTTTTAAAAAAGTAAATATCTAGGCAAGTGATTTATTTATTTTTCGGAAACTTTTCTTGATTATCAGTTTTATTTTGCCTGCTTTGTTTGTCACTCAAGGGGGGGAAAAAGAGTACTTGCAAAGATTAAAGAAGAGAAGGCCGAGTAGAGACTTCAGTGTGTGCGACTCCCAGTGAGAGAGAAACAAGAGGATGTTAGGAAAAGAAGAATCGAACACGGTGTTGACGTTGCTCAAAGCCGGAGATCATCGGCCCTTCGATCAGATCGTCGCCGACTTCGCCTCCAGCTTCCCTCCCCCTCGCCAATTTTCTGCTTGCATCTCTCTCGCCTTAATCCTTGACGTAAATCTCCCTCTCTCTCTATGTGCGTGTGTGTTTCTCTATCTATATATCTTTCTAAATGACTAGAAGAGCAGTTCAATTGAAAAATTAGGGTTTTGAATATGCTAGACTAGGTTTTTTGCTGCCCATTTTAGGGTTTTTTCATAGTTGGTGTATGTGGTGAGTATATTTTGACATCCCCATTTCTGTAAAGTTGAATATAACAATTCATGCATTTCGAGCTAAGAATGGGTTTTCGATTTGGAGAAGAGGAGGCAATAAATTTTTGACCTTCAGAGCAATTCAGTTTTTCAATTACCAATTACAAGTTTTGAATTTGCTTGAATCTAGCTGCTCTTTTCTTGAAACAGAAAGGAAAAAGAGCAAAAATAATATTACTATTAGATTTGTGGTTTATCAAAATAAAAGGGCTGCTATTCTGATAGATTTGTGTGATTTGCAAGGTTTTTAAAAGCAAAAATAATTAATTTTTCTTAGATTTGTGTAAGGAATTTAAGTATTCAACTTTTTGAAGAAATTGCCATCACGATCCCCCCGACGGGTGACCTAGTGGTCGAGAGTTAAAATAACAACCTTTGAATCCTAGCAGAAGCTAAAGTACATGAATCCATCCCATATGCCTAAGCGCTGGTGGAGAGAGTTTTCTGGTATCTGTGCTAGCAAAAAGTAGTAGGTAACTAGTGGATTAGTCGAGATGCCCACAAGCTGCCTTGTACAATGTACACCAGTGTGCAAGGCAAGGGGTTTGACTTGGATATAGGATTTCCGAAAAGACATTGCAATCAAGGTTTTTCTTGTTGGAGGGAATTGTCTTCCATTCTTTGGAACCTGGAAAAAGCAAGGGGTTTGATTCGGATATAGGATTTCCTATGGTCCTTGTTTTCCACATTCAGAAAAAGTTACTTCATACTTTTTTTTTGGGTTCTTGAAGTGATAATCAAAAGTTGCTTTGAGTATCTTTGTATTTCCTCTGTAACTTATCAACAAAAAAAAAAAAAGAAAAAGAAAATCCGTGTAGTTCCTTGTACCTTAGTCTCTCTCATCACACCTAGAAGTTTTCTTATATTGGACATCTATATCTCGTAGATGAGAAAAGTTTCGCAACTTGCAGCTATTAACAGCCCGGTATACCATCTTCTCTGCAGGGAAAACTTCTTAAACCAGCACAGAGATTAGTTGCTTTTGCAATTCTTCAGCAGGTTTATTCCTCGCAGGAGCCTTCATCAAACCCGTTCATTTCGTTGCTAGTAAATGTAAGTGCAGGTTATTAATGTTCATCATGATTCCATTTGCTATTATTTTGTGTCCTGCAAATTGAATGGCTGTGAAGTCCTGTAACATGCAAAATGTATTCAATGCAATATTAAAATATGTTCTCTGAAAAATTTTTCAATTTCAAAAAAAAAAATGTTCTCTGAAAGATTTGTGCTAAGATTTCTCCTTTTTTCTTGTGGAATTTAATAAATTATAGAACTGTACTCATGCTCGACTTTGTAATGTTAGGATGTCCAACAGTGTATAGTGTCTCATGCATTTACTTCTTCAGCACTTTTGGTTGCTGCTCGTGGTTCTTTTTCTTAATTAAGCAGAACTATAGTAGAAACTGCTTTCTAGTTTCTGCAAACTAAGGTTTGTACATCATGGTGATGGAAGGTATCGAGTTGAAAAAAATAGGTAGTTGCAGGTCGGAAGAAATTTAGAGGTTCCCTTACTTTTAGGTATATCTTGAGGGAGGTGCATGATGGGGCTACAAAGTTATTTATAGACATTACTAAGAGATGGCAGAAAGGCATTCATGAAGAAAAGGAACTAAAGGGAAGTGTAGTGAACGTGAAATAAGTTGAAAAGTAAAGTGCAGCAAGTAGAAATGGTGAGGATGGCAAAGAGAGTGCAAGTGAAAGGGAAAGCCGTTGTAACTTCCGACTCTAGCTTCTGATCTGGATTTAAATAGAATAATACTCCTTTTGCCTCTTGTTTTTTGTAGCCTCTATAACTGTCTAAATCCTAGAAAACCAACTCTAGCATGATGCTTTCCAGCAAAAAAAGAAAATCTGCAATAAGCTGATGCTTTCAACCTTTAGCGCAAGAAAGTGATGGAAGAAAACCCAAGAATTATTGCAGCGCTGTAAAACATATAAGATCTATCATGCATACAGGTAGAGTGCATCATTAATGCTTAGCTGAGTGTAAAGAAAACCTTTTTATGTGTGTATCCATATGTAGACTATCTGCGATAGACAATTGGGAAGTTCTCAATGTTCTTCGAACACATAAAAGCAGACATAAAAACTCTTAAGGCAGATTGAGACAGTTATGGAGACTTTATGGTAAAAGCAGGATCAGTTTATGAATTTCGAGAAAATTAGCGGGATCAGTACCTTAGATTGTTGGACGAACAAAATGGTTAATCAAGCGTAGTTGCTGGTGAGATAGTACAAAGAGAGGTATATGCTTAGAAGCTGAGCAGATTCAGGATTTTTATTCTAACCAGCCTTTGGACTCATTAAATTTTTTATTATGATTTGGATTAGGTGCATGCAACTTGTTAACAGTGTTCAAGGGAAGGGGTAGTATAAATAGTTATATGTGGGGGTAAATTTTAATTGTAAGACTGGAAATTTTAAGTCTCCTGACTTGAAAAAAAGCAAAAATAACACGACTTTCTGTGAGCTGTGCACGAGTACAGAGAGACTTATACTGCTTTGGTAGCTGATCTTTTGTAGTATTCACGAACTATCTATCTCATATTACTCTCTCCCTTCACATGCACCTCAAACCACACACTTAATGTTCAATGAGCTTTCATTCACTATGAATTTAGTATATCACGTTCTTTACCTTTAAGTGATAAGCTCTTAAAAGTGATTTATATGACACATTCTACTTAAATTCCTTGATAGTTGTGATTAGATGACCTTTATGTCTTCACTATGATTATTTGTTTTGCTTATTTGCAGGCAGCCTGTGACGAAGAAGCTGAACCATGTGAAAGAGCTTTTATTCTTCAGTTGTTGGGCTCAGCCAGCTCAACCAGTAGCAGAGAGGTTTAACTATTGGTTTCCTGTGTGTGTATAATGGTCATGTTTAGAGGGTAAAAAGGCCCTGGTTTTGTGCTCTTGCTTCTGACGTTTAAAGCTTAAAGCAAACCGTATTTTGTGTAAGATCAGTTGTAAATTAAGGGCTATAGTTGTCTGTGATGGACTTACTCAATCACAAGACAATATAATACTAACTATTTCAACTTGTTATGATGATAAAATTTGTTATTTACTTTTTTTAAAAAGAGAATAGGTCCATTGCTGCAGAATAACTGTTCATCCACCCAGATGGCTTACTGGGTATTGTGGTCACCTGTATGATAGATTGCTAAATAGAGTTTATTGTGTAGGCGAAGTAGAGCTTTTTGTCATGGTCCTTTGAGTAGTACAACAGCTGCATTGCTCTGATGGAAATGTTTCATCATTGAGATGGGGGAAAGACAGAATAGCCAAACCTTACTATACCTGCAGTATTAAAGTGCAATTCCGTTCTAAGATGTAAAAGACACTTTGAATATGCTATATCAACATAATTTTTCTGTCTTCGCATCTTTCCAATTTTAAGCTTGTCAGAAGTCAGGAATGCATTCTATGCCCTGTCCCGCTCAACCCCCAGACCAGGAAAGGGAAAAAAGTATATTAAGTCTGGGCAGGGTTATTTGGTTTATAATTCTGCTCAGTATGTTTTAAAGCATCTTAGTTTGTAACTCTAGTCAAAATTATTTGGTTTCCTTTACCCCGAGTGCTTATTTTTGAAGTTATGCCATATTAGAACTGTTTCAGAAGTAATGCCTCATTGCAGGTTCTTAAGCAATCAGCAACAGATTACATGAAAATGTTTGATCCTTCACAACATGTAAGTGACCAATATTCTCATATCATCTTTTTCATTACTGGTGGTTACATGTACGTAAACTTATCCTCTTTCATCTCAATTTTGAACTTCACTAGTCTTTCCCCCAACGAGAGCAGTTGCAACAGCAATATGGTAGCAAAGCTCTACCAGAACAGCTTCATTGCTTGTTCAGGAACAATTACGTGAAAAATAGCATTCCTGACCCTGATGTACCTCGTGGCTGTGATAGCAATTCATCAGAGTATGACTCCATGCTTTTATTTCTTGGTATTCTGTTTAGGTTACTACTTTATCACCAAAAAGTCCAGTTCCCCTTCTTTGTTTCCCCTTCACAGACCCACCATTGGAGAAGTTTTTTTTTTCCTGTGAATTTTCCATCCTGGTATCTTAGTCTTGCATTGATAACTCAAGTTGGTCAATGATTTCTTATTCTTGGACATTATTTAATATTTAGCATTGGCAAATTTCAGGTTTGATCTCCCTGGATCTAAACCTAAGATTGGATCTGGGGATGTTGATGAGACGATAACTGGATTGTTATCAAATTTGTCATTGGAAGGATTAGGACCTCAATGGATCAGGCCTTATCCTCCCAGGCTTCCTGTATTAGATGGAGAGGTAAGGACTATGTGCTGTTATGTCAAGGGAATAAATTGATCAATTTCTGGAGTATGTTAGATAACCCTCATATCTGCTGCAGCTAGTGTGGCTAAACCCTGATTACAATTATGAGCTTCTATGGGATCATGGGATGTGTGCCGATACTAGCAGAGGAGCTGCAGTCAGGGATTTGATTGCAAAAGCCCTAAAAGGTCCACTTGCACCTGCTCAACAAGAGGTGCATATGCTTCCTGTTGGATATTCCACTACATACTTGCTCAAGTTCTATTGTTATTATTATCTAAATGACTGATTCACAAAATAAAGGCTTTTTTCCTGATAAATAGGTCAATCTTGGCCTTTTTTCTTGGATTTCTATGGCCATTCCTTGTGGATATAATTTCATGATGGACCTTTATGAGAAAAATGTAGGGTTGCATGCCAATGGAAAAAGTGACAAGGTGGAACATATCCAAAGAAGGTCAAGTTTGCCTATTCGTATTTATTGAACCTCGGTTTTCTGGTTCTACTTCTCCACGTAACCCAAAAAAAAACAAACAAAGAAAAAAAGATTTGGTGGTTCAACTATATACCTGGTGGAATGTTGTCTAGACTATGTTAGTTTTGCAATTGACCATGCCGACTTTGAATGTTGGCAACGCCGGGCAAATAGCTGCTCTAGTAGATCCTAAGTAGGATAGATAATATTATCTTTTTTTGTCATTAAATGTAAATTTTAGTTATAAAGACCGGTACTAAGTTGGAGCTGCAGTATATAATTCTCTAAGGAACTGATGAAGTCTCATAGATGTTCAGCCTAATCTACATGCTCATCCTACACCAGAAAGTAAGCAAAAGTATACTAGTGCATTTGATCTTCAAATTGAGTCAGCTTTATGTTCAAAAACGTATGTAATTCTTTTCTTCTGTAATGTCCACCAGATGCATGCTGGGATAGTATTCCATATTCTTCTTCGGTTTCACTCAGACCTTTCCTGTTCTAGCTCCTAGGTGGTTCTTGGCATGACCAATCTGAGACCCAAAAGTTTTAGACAATACGCCATAACTGGGATTCTGGGCCAACACAAAATAAGAATAGGGCTGTTCCCTTCAGCCTCTTCCCTATGTGTGTAGCTTCTGCTGCAGATTTGCAATCCTTGTTCAGAAGATTGTCTTGTCAAACAGGTTTCATAAGCCATTGCGAAGAGTTAAACCATCTTATATGGTGCTTTTTTAGAGATTCGCTTTTCAGCTCTAGGATGAGAGATTTCTGACCATATCCTGCTAGCAAGAAGAGAGTTGTAGCAAGATTCACAGTGAAGACCCTATTGCTCTGGGCTGTCCAATTCAGCCTGTCTGCTTTGAGGCGAGACCGTGAAAGCCAGTAAATTGAGAAACTATACTATCCTTCCAATTCTCAATCACTCCTGAAGACAATGTTCCTGCCATTTTTACTTCTGCAATAGCCAACTCTATTTCTGTATTCTGGAAAACGGTCAAAGGATCACTGAATCGTTGTTTGAGCTCCAGTTATCATGCCAGAAGGTATCCTGCAGCATCACCTGCCTTGCAGCAGATTCTGTCAACTAAACCGTTCCCATTTCCTTGATATGTTTACATACCCCTAACTGATGAGGAGTTGTCACTCCAAGCATTCTGCATCCCATACTTTTCTTTCATTACTTTCTTCAATATGGCCTATTTAAAGACTATCTCCCGACAACCACTTTCTGGGAGCCTTGGGCTATTCCTTCTCATTGGCTGTGACAGAGCTCCACCTCATCAGCTGATATGTCCTCTTGTTCCTTACTAGAACCAGATGTCTCCTAAGGTTATCCAGTCTCCTCTATTTTTTGCTGGCATAAGGAACAAGAACATGACATATGTTGGCAGGTAGTCTAGTACACTGTTGATAAGGATCAGTCGACCCACCAAAGAAAAGTATTGCCTCTTCCAACATGCCAGCTTCCTTTCACATTTCTGCCCCATCTCTTGCCATATGCCTCCAGATTTGTGCTTTTATCCCGAAGGGAGGCCTAAAGATGTTGCAGGTGAGCTTCCTTACAAGTTACAACCAAGTACTTTAGCCAGGTCCCTAATGTTTGGGAGTATCATTAGCTGATTATGTTATGCTCTTTATCCAGCTGTTTTTAGTATGCATCGTACCTAAAAACAACTAATATCAACCTTAGATATCTCAGCTGCTCTACTATAACACATAGAATCAATGTGTTGAAATGGCTAAGGTGTCCTGCCCATCACAAGTAGGTTTAAAAATCTTATCTTCATGCAGTACCAGTTTGATCATTCTTCTAAATCTTGCATAACAAATATGAACAAGAAAGGAAATACAGGTTTCCCCTGTCTCTGTCCCTTTATGAAGAAAGAAAAAAAACCCTTTAGGTCACTCATTAGTAAAGAAAGAGAATGACATTGTGATGATATAGAAACTTATCCAATTAATCCGCGTTTCGTCAATTCCCATATCTCAGCATATTCATAAAAAACTCCAAATTTACATGACCATATGCTTTTTGTATGTGTAGCTAGGAAATAGGCCAAATTTTTTCTCCTTCTGTCAAGACATTCGTTTGCTACTAAAATTGCATTCATGATTTCTATCTCCCTTCTGTATGCAATTTCTGTTTTAGTTTCTAATTTATTGACAACCCTTTTTAACCTCTGTGTGTGTTGCTTTAATTGATATTGTAAAGCTCTCAACCTAGCTTTTTGATCTGAAATTCTTTTAAAATCCATGGAAATATGAGATGCATTTAAGCTTTTCTCGAGAACCTCACGAAGATGGAAATCATTTATGGCCTCGTTATGTCATCCTTCAACACTTTCTAGCAACTCTAAACGAAACTCATTTAGTACCCATCTGGACTAGGAGTTCCTTCATCAGTTTCTTAGCAATATTTATATTATGAAGCAGTACGAAAAGAAAAAGATTTTTTCCTTATATGATTGGATTAAAAAGTAACTTTGGGATTGTTGAATCACGGAGAAAAAAGAAAGAGAAAAATAAACATATAACGCAATGAAACCGTCAATTGTATTTTTTTTAACTACTCCGAAAGGAAGGATGGCAATTTGATCCTTTACCCATTTGTGTAATTTTGATGATTTTAAGAAAAGAAGAACTTGTATTTCTATGCGTCTATTTATATCTCAAGAACAAGCTGCTTATACAAGGTTCCTATGACCTATTCAAATCAAGTAAAGATCTAATCTATGGCTTATTCAAATGAATAAGTCAAGCTGTTACAGATAACAGAAAACAAGGAAACAATATATAGCTTATTCAAAGCTGTAAATATATGACCTATTTGGGAAACATTATTCCTAAAAGTTCTCCTACAATCAACATTCCTCCTAAAGTTGGTGCAAAGATGTCACACATGGCCAACTTGCAAACTAGTGTTTGAAAGGATTTTTTGTTGACCCCTTTCGTAAACAGATCTGCTAGTTGTTTCTTTGATGACACATGAAGCAAGTCAAGACACCACTTTTGATCTATCAATTTCAACATGTCTCATCTAGTCTATGTTGAACAGGATTATGAGTTATATTGATTGTAGTCTTGTTATTATAATACAAAGAAAAGTTTACCTTTTTTAGACAATCTCAATTCCTTTAGTAGCTTTGTAACCACAGAAGTTCATAAATACCCTGGGCCAAAGCTCTATATTCTGCCTTTCCACTTAATCTAGCAACTAAACTTTGCTTCTCCAAGCAAGTAAGTTCTCTCCTACGAGTGTATAGTAACCAGATGTAGATTTTTCGTCAGTTAGAGATCCATCCTAGTCCGCATCTGAATAGGTTTCTACTTGGAGGTGGCCATGTTTGGAGAAAAGGAGACCTTTGCCTAGAGCAGATTTCAAACCGTAAAATGTGAAAACATCTTGCATATGAGAATCCCGAGATCATGCATTAACTGATTCACCAAGCTGACTGAATAAGCTATATTTGGTCTAGTGTGGGAGAGATAATGAGTCTTCCAACCAATCTTTGAGATCTCTCTTTATTAACCGACTCTCCAGTTCTGCTTTGTAACTTCTGATTGCTTCCAATGGGCGGTTTTGCCAGTTTGCAACATGTCGTACCAGTTTCTTTCAAGAGATCTAAAATATATTTCCTTTGAGAAATAAAGGTTCCTCTTTTTTATCTAGCAACCTCAATTCCCAGGAAGTACTGCAATTATACTAGATACTTATTTTAAATTCTTGTGCCAACGGCTTCTTTAATCGGGTCATCTCCTCTTTGTCATCTCGTCATTACTATGTTATCAACATAAACTATGAGGAGTGAGTTTACCCTTTTGATGTCTTATAAAGAGGGTGTGATCAACATTGCTTTGTTTGTTGCCGAAGGAGATCATTCCTTTGTAGAATCTGTCAAACCAAGCTCTAGGGGATTGCTTCAGTTCATACACGGCTTTCTTCCGTTTGCGTACCCTTCCTTGACTTTGTTCAACATCAAATCCAAGAGGAATCTCCATATACACCTCTTCTTCTACATCAAACTGTTGTAAGTCCCAGTCAAGATTAGCTGCACAAGAGAAAAGAATTTTGATACCGTTCATTTTAGCAACATGGGCAAATGTCTCTTGATAATCCACTCCACAAGCAATCTTGCTTTGAATCTTTCGATTGAGCCATCGTCTTTGTGTTTCACATTGAAGATCCATTTGCAGCCAACTAACTTCTTGTCTGGTGGTGAAGTGATAAGTTCCCAAATTGTATTTTTTGACGAGGCCTTCATTTCTTGAATCATAGCTTGCTTTCATTTAGGATTTGCAAAAGCTTCCTACCAATTCTAGGGAAGAGACACAAAAGAAATAGACAACGTAAAGGCCCTATAGGAGGAAGCAGAATTATAGGAGACTAAATTAGATAAAGGGTGTTTAGTGATGCAAGATCTGACTCCTTTTCTGTTAGCAATGGGAAAATCCGATTCATTAAGAAATGTAAATAACTAACCAATATAAGAAGGTTCAGCTTCGGTAGATCGCATGATGGTTTCTTTTTATTTCTCTGAGTAAGGTTTCAAATCAGGCTTATCCACAACGTATCCTAGGAAGAATCTCCCAGAAAAAATTACCGAAATGTGGTCTAGTCGCCGACGCGTGAGGCTGACGGTTGCCGGAGTTGGACTTATGGAGGCGCATGAGGCCGTCTTTGCCGAAGCTGCTTGTTGGGGTTTTGTTGCCGTAGAGAGAGAGAGGGGGAGCCTGTG